TTTCTTTCTATTGTCAATATTTGAGTGTCAATACTTAAATAGCAGTACATTATTCTGGTTAATTTATTGCGGAATAAACATTAGGGGTTGGGTTTTTCCTCAATCGTTTTGGCGTTGCAACCGAAGTGAATGCAATCAATCTCATGGATATTAAGGGAAATGCATGTGAATGATTAGAAATGTGATTTTATACTTGAATGTAGTAATGAACGCACACAAACTTTTGCTTGCTTGTTTTTATTACCAATAAAATCTTATTTTGAAGAAAAGTTGTGTGCCTGAGTATATTGACCAAACACTGTATAATAGCCCACTGGTTTTATAAGTAAAACACTGGTTAATAGTTCTGTAGGTGAGTTGCGTTTCGCCCGTAGTTTCCTGGGCGAACCTGAGGAAGCTACAGGCGAAACGTGTTCGCTCACAATAAAATACAGTAAAGTTATTTTCAGTATGCCATGGAGTTTATATTCATTTTTCCAGGAGGTTTTGTAAGATAAGACCATAGACTGTAAATTATTACATTAATTGATCTAATTGTCTAACCCTAACCCTTTTAATTGTTAATATAATATATATATTAATTGTTGATATTAGATATTAAGACGTATGGATAAGACACCCACTTTTGCGTAATGTTAGAAGTCCGTCTGCCAAAATTAACTTTTTTCTACAGATGTGTACAGTGCAGTTACAGTTTAAGACCTGTGTTTAAGAATTTTTACAAATAGTGCAAAGACTTGGGAAAAGAATCCAAGTGTTCAGTCATAAAGTTTCTACAATCTGGCAAAAAATAAAAAAATCTTTGCTTGTGTTGAAGTTTCTTTTTTTTTTTTAAACTACATTTAACCACAAAAACGGTGAATATTAAATATTATTATTGAAATTGTCCTTTAAAAAAAAAAAAAAAAGTAAATGTCACATGTTAAGACTTCAAGTTGCATGTTTTTACAAATACTCTGTTGGTTTCTTTCTCATTTATGGGCAGTAACAGTTTTTTTTTTTTCGTTTTCTCCGTGTGTCTTGACGACACTCTGCTCCGGCAGAAGTTTCTGTTTGTCTTCTGAACATTCAAACATCAACCAACCTCCGAGGTAACGGTCGGTGGTCTGATCCTGGACACCACTACACGCGTGTGAGAGGGACCAAGGTGATTTAAAAAAAAAAAAAGAAAAGAAGTATTTGTTCTTTGTTTTGTGACGGAGTCGTCACAAGCGCACTTTTTTTGTGGTGACAAAATGCAGACATGGTGAGGTTTTAACTTCAAACCAGCAGGCTTTAACCCCCAAACTGAGTAACGGAGGAAAAGATGTCGCAGCAGGAGAACATCAACCTGTATGACCTGTTGAACTTATCCATCCGGCCACCTCAGAAGAGCGAGGTGAACTTCTCAAAGCTTCATGCTCTGCTCAAAGGCGTCCTGAAGCAGCTGGAAGTCCTGGAGAAGAAGACCCGATGCCCTGATGCTCATGAGGCTATCAGCGATGTCGACCAGGAACAGCTTACGGAGGAGGAGCACCGGATCCAGGGGAACATCTCTCCTCCTCCTCCTCCTCGTCCCCGTCCCCGGCTCTCTCCTCTGGTACCCCGGCAGACGGCCAGGGGAGGCTCCCCAGCGGCATCCAGACCTGCGAGGACGGAGAGTCTGAGGTAGGAACAACATCTAAGATCAGCCTTTACTCTAAGAAAGTTTGATTTGTTCACTGTTGGGATGCTACCAAACTAATCCTGACTAATAATACGAGCATTTAATCCAACTCTTTATGAAGCATATCGTTTGCATCTTTATTTATTTGTTAGGGACAGCGCATATTAATGAACAATAACAATTACAGCTGTAAAAATGCCAGATTATAGCAGAAGTGCTAGTTTCCATCTGTTGTCCCGAGGCAGGTAACAGAGGAAGACAATTACAAATAAAATACAAATACAAATACAAAGGCACAAGTGACACAAGACAATAATAGAGGTTAAAGGTGGTCACAGACTTGGTTTTCTTTTATCCACTGTTTGAGGTGTTTTTGAAGGTTGCATATGTTTGTGTATCTTCATTATGATTTAATAATCTAGTGTTTACAGGTAAATATGAAGTGTACCTTCAGTGGTATTTTCAATGAAGCACTCTTGCATACATTATTTTATTTCCACTACTACTACTTTTGCTTTCGTAAATTATCTCAATAATTATTCAGTAATAACATTCATAAATTGCATTTAGTTCTTAGATATTTGTGTGTGCAAAAAAAACATTAAATTGAACACAAGAAAAACTTTTGCATTAAAAAAAGGTGGGGTGATATCATCACAGGTGTGACTAATAAAAACCCTGAGGGCTTGTGAAGGTTGCCCACCTTACATTGTAATAAACATCTGCAAAGTTTTGTCACAAATTACAAGCAGAAATAGCTGTTCACGGACGGCCTTAAAGCAGGAACAGAGCAAAATTCACAAATTGTGAATGTAGTTTTTATACACTTTAACTTACATCATTCAAATACTAATTGTAGTCTGTAAAGAGACCTTGCTTAAGATCTTTTTGTAAACCCAAAATAGAAGAGTGATTGTGAAGTGAAGCAGGACAGCACTTCTTAATGACTTGACCTCTGTAATTGAAAACTGGCCTTGGCTGGTTCTGTAATATTGACTGTTTGTGGAAGAGCAACAGAACAGGTGACAGCCAGTGGATCTGAGACCTGCGTATATGCAGTCAGTTGTATGTTACTTTACGTCAGAATATGTGAGGCCAGTATTGAAGCTGAAAACATACATCTTGGCTTAGTAGAGTCAGTCGTCTCTCAACCTGAAGGTCGGTGGTTCGATCCCCAGCTCCTGCAGCTACATATCCGATGTGTCTTTGGGCAAGACACCCAAGTTGCTCCCGCGGCTTTGTCGGCGGCGTGTGACTGTGTATGAATGGGATTAGCTAATACTGATGGCCACTTTTCAAAGCAGCCTCTGCCACGAGTGTGTGACTGAGTGTGAATGGGTAGGTGCGTCCTGCGGTGTAAAAGCGCTTTGACCAGTCACAAGACTAGAAAGGCGCTATACAAGCTCAAGTCCATTTCCCATCCCATTCAGCTAACAGTTATTTGAATTGTGGATATAATCAAAATACTTTGAAGAGCCCATTATTGACAATTGCACTGGCCAAACCCCGTAACCTATTGTTTCTTGTTAAAGGAAAAATCAATTTATGTTGCAGATATGCACTTTCATACAAATCTTTTGTCTCTAGATGTAAAAAAAAAAACATGCCAGTGGTCACTCCCCTTTTTAAACTCATCCACCGCGAAGCCGGTACTTTCACTTTTCCGCCATGCTTGTTGCTGTGCGTAACGATTTGACGTCACTTTGTGAAGAAGTAGGGATGTTGCCATTATCACGATATTCAATTTTTAAATCATATAAAAAATATACCGTTATTATCGTGAATGATACGATATGGCACAACTCTACTCACAACAGTATTAAATACCAATAAAAATATGGACAATTTAAATCAATTTGACAAAAAATGCTTGCAATACTTGTTTTTAACCAGCAGAGGGCGTCTATTGGCTTCTATTGTTCGATGTCAGAAGGTAAAGATGAGACCTCAAAATTAAAAAGTTCTACTCATATTTATAAAGAAAGGTAAGGAAGAATCACAATAAAAGAATAATTTATTCATAAAGTATCTTCAGTCTCATGTCTGTTTGAACATCTTTCAAAAATGTGACAAAATGTTATTGTGAACCCAGATTTGTGAAATGTATTGTATCACATGTTGAGTTTATTGTTACATCTCGAGTTGAAGGCGTTTTCTTTAAAGACTTAAAAGACAACTTGAGTCCAAGACAGCATTGAACTCTTCTGCGTCGTCTTCTTCTTCTTCTTCCTGGCACGCAGCAGCGAACATTTCAGCGTAGCATTAAGCTGTTGACGACAGAGCAGAGGACAATGGGAGATGGGCGCCACCCTGACATCTCAAATGACCTTTGCGTGTCTCTGTTCAGGTTTCTGCTTCCATCAGTGGGGTAAAAAAGAAATGACTCAAACTGTCAGCTGTTGATTTAAGAGGATAAAATAGATTGAATTGAAAGAGATTAATCAGAGTAGAAGGTTTTACAAGCCATGTTGATGCCCAGATCCTCTTTTTCCTACCTCGCTCCTGATCTCACCCCCGCCACCCCCCCCCACCCTCTCTCTATGTGATAGGGGGGTAATTAGTCCCCCGCAGCGATGACTCTGGTTGTCAGAGGAAGAATAGATCTCCGGTGAAAAGCCGGACGTCGAGCAGGTGCAGGCGATGATGCATCTGAATCATTCATGTCCTCTTCAGGCACCATTCAGGTCACCTGCTGTATCCGCTGACTCAACTGTGATGAGGTGACCTGGAATGCCCTGTCCCACCTGCCCTGCAGTGACTGAAGGGGGTACATGCCACATGTCACTGGGGTCAGAACTAGAGCCCAACGATTATTCGGCCCTGATATTTAATAATTGTTCAGTGCAGCTGCATGAAAACTATCCCGGCGGTCAGTACGAGACCATATTAATTGTAATCAAGGCGTGTAGCTGGACTCTTTAACCAGCTGTTAGTCATTCAGTCTATCAGTGGAGCTCTGTGGGGTCGCTCTGCATTATTTCATGTCCTGGCACGTTTGACCCAGGTTAAACACCAACTCACCTGCAGCTCAGGAATGTCCACTCACTCACACAGACACACATTCTGCTGATAGTTTACGCAGAACAAAGAAATGCAAATCTTTACTCTGACAACAAACTGTCTCACAGGCAATGTAAACACCCTGAAAGGAAGAAAGGGATTTTTATTTATTTTTTTCAGCCTGAGATAGAAGCTGGGAGACAACTTGTGTAACATCTGGATTAGGCTCATCTGTAATCTCTGGACTTTGCTTCACCCTCTTTGTCAGCTTCTGTTAAAAGTCCTGTTTGCTTTCACTGGGGTCAAAGGGCACACGGTTGCACCGGTGGAGACGTTTTCCTGAGACATCTTTTTAGTTCACACTGTTGGGGAACATCAGTTTCTCTACTCAGTGCACTCCAAACTGAGTCGTTTGACTTGAATACATCTGATATCAACATTTCAATGAAGCAATCCAAGATGTGTAACCAATGACTGATATTAAGTGTCGTTCTCTTGTTGTCGTTTAGGACATGACGTTTATTCAGGAGCTCAACCAGCAGAGTGATGATCAGTTGGGGGAGATGAAGGAGCTCTGCCACCAACAGAAGGTGAGATTGTTAGAAGGGAATGATTATTTAGTGCCTTCATACAACCTGAAGGTTCCTGAACATATATTATTATCTCATTACTGTTTTGTTTTTTTTACAACTTGTGGACTCCCGAAGCACTCAGCAGCATTTTTGTTTGTTCCCTTTTCTTGTGTCGAGTAAAAATCACACCAAAAGTTCCATAAATTAGTTAAAGCACATTTGCACGGCACTTTAAAAAGGAGTGTTGATCTAGCCTTGTTTAAAATGCATATGGCAGTGAGAAAAAAAGTTTTCTTTCAATCCATTTACTCTGTTAACACTAGTTGGTGACAGCTTCATTTGACTACACTGTGGAGATTTGAGTGGTTAAATGTCACTTATAATAGACTGTGAAAGTGATGGAAATGGGGATGAAAGTCATTTGAAATGTGAAGGGCAGGTGACACTCTTGCAGGGTTTCATTGGCTCTTTGCTGTGTCCAGGTGGTCGTTGCTCAAGCTGAGATGGTCACTGTGGAGAAGTACTGCCATCGTGTGGACGCCCTGGAGGAAACTTTGGTGAGCGTGTGGAAGAGAGGATTAACTTTACTCCTCAAATGTTAAGGATTCTCTTGATTGCTCATGGATACATGAAACGTTTCTTTTTTTTCCCAAGGATCTATTTCCAAAGAATAAAAAAATCATACTTTTTTAATTTCTCGTGTTCTTCCTGTGACAGAGATCCTTGAGGGACACATTTCAGAGTTCACCAGACCTTGCTAAGGTGTTTAAGAGTGTGACCTGGAACATCATGCTCCCTGGGAGGGAAGGCCTTCAGGAAGTAAGAAAACAAACTGACAGACCTTATAAGGAAACTCCTGATCTGCACTGACTTTGTTGCATGTGTTACAATGATGATTTCTCAGGTGGCTGAAAGTGAATTATAGAAATGCTAAATCTCTAATTTCTTTGATCAGAAATCAGCATCCAAAATGTCTCGTTTTGATGTATCAGTGGTTCAAAACCGCATCACTTTTTTTTCTTTCACTTTTCTAAGTGTGAGAACTGGCAACGGCTCTCAACCCCAGGTTATTTCTCTCTTTTTTGTTGTCGTTTTCAGTGTTTTTAGGCTCCTATCTCCTCCTGTTTCACATGTGCTACAACATTGGTTTCAGCATTATATTGAAAAGCTCTTTCCGGAGTCATGTATGCGTCTTACTGCTTACATGTTTAAAGGTCCAATCTGTAAGATATCTACATATTGGATTATGAGTTTGAACGATTCTGAGGACGTGTCAGTAAAGTCTGATAGTTCAGTGTAATTAAATGTGTGAGAGGCATCAACAAACGTCCTGTTGCTAACAAAGACTTTTTTTAAAGGACCTTGTAAATTCAGGACTTGAAGATCCATCCACACATGAACCCTCACACACACCATCACCTCCTCGCTCTCCATCGATGTTTGGACAGACTCTCGAAGAAGAAGAGGCGCACACCCACCCTGACGCAGGCCGATCTCCCGCTGGTCCGCCGCTGTCGCCGAACACCAGTGGCTCAGACCCTGAGACAGCAGAGGCCGTGTTGAGTCTGAGAAAACTGATGGCGAGGTTCAGTAAACTGGAAGCTCTTGTTACAGTGCTGAAAGAAGGAAAGGTGGACAAATCGCAGCTGACGCACCTCAGAGAGCTCATCGACAACAAAGGTAACTTTGTGAATTAAAGGTAATTCACTTCATTTTGCAGGAGGTAACCCCTGAATGTTTGTCACCCCCTGTTTTGACTTAATGGTTCATGTTGTACATTTAGGTTCAGTGGATGTATCAAAAAACCTGACGGATCAGCTGAACCAGCAGAGAGCTTTGATAGACGGCCTGATGAGCGACCGGGAAAAGGTGGGTGAGAAAGAAAAAAAAAACCTTTACAAGAGGCAGAAAGTTCTGTCCAGAAGACAATCCATGAGCACCGACACACACACACACACACACACACACACATCACAGTACTGCAGTCTGCTTCTTGTTCTGATGATGTCACGTCTCTGTCCGAAGCTGGACGCTTTGGAGGAGATGATTATGAAACCAACGAGGTCAGATTCAGCTTCAGGGAGTGTGGATCCGGATAGCAAAGCCTATCATGAGCTCAAACAGCAAATATCCTACGTCAGGTAAATAGTGTCAGGTAGGATGAGAGAGAAACCTGTCGAGTATATAAATACAGTAACAGAAAGCCTTTTCACACATGCACAAAACGCCAGAGCTCCATGTGTGAACACTGTGGGGGGGTGTCCTCTTTGTGTTACATTGACTTTTAGCCTGTTGTGAATATGAAATCATTTCAGATGAAGGTCTGTTCTTGAATATTCGTTGTGTGCAGGAAGTCTGTGAACAAACTGGAGGTGGACATGAAGCAGCTGAAGGCTAGGCAGGCTTTAATTGAGGAGAGCAGGCCACAGAAACATCTACAACATCAGGTCAGACAGAGAGACGTGTTACTGAGGGTCAGACAGAAAACACAAACAAATGGAAAAATGTCCAAACATCACTGTCATATATTGAAGTCGAAAAAGGCCTGAGCCCATGTAGAATCTTACAAACCTTCATGGAGAGAATTTCCAGTTTTCTAAAGAGTCCAGGATCAGTTTTACAGTTTTATCTCAGACCTTTGCCCTTTTCCCCCGCACTCTCGGCTCAGCTGGACGTCCTGCAGGGCAGGTTGGAGAACCTGATGCTGTCCTTGACAGATCAGTACTCCATCAACCTCCAGTGTGAGCAGCAGCAGCAGGACTCAGTGAACTGGCAGCCAAAACAAGAGCAGACTGAGGACAGAGCAGGGACGCTGCAAGAAGGAGAGGCAAGAGAGAGTTTAGGTTCACCTCAGAGCGGTTTCATTCAGCGAGGAAAACCTTTTAACAAAACCTGTTTCAATTTCAGTACACCATGAGACGTCAATGCGATATTAATGATCTTATGTGTGGGTTTTTGTGTTTTGTGTGTATTTGTGTGTATGTGTATCCAGATTATGGAGCTGGTGAGCGGCCTGCAGGAGGAGATCCTGCAGCTTCAAGCCGAGTGTGAAAAACTGCACGAGACCACCAGGTGTCTGCAAGTGGACAACAAACAGAAACAGAGCCACATCGAGGTGCACACACAAACACACAACCTTCAGCATGTCTTCCTGTTTTTCCTCCTTTCTCTTTGTCTCTATCATTTATAACTACAGTGATAGGAATAAAACTGTATGACTGTATCTAGAGATGTTTGTTTCATTTCGATCCATAATTCCGGTCACGTTCTTTACAGATGATGTGGTTATGTTATAAATGTTTGTGTGATTGCTTTAACTGTGTTAACACCTTTTAAGATGATATAATATGTAATACAATCTGTGTGCTTACCATCCGTTTTGACCTCTGAGAACAGGCACACAAACAAAGCTTTGTCACATTTTCTTCCTCTCTCTTGTCGTGTTAACAGAAGTCTGATATCTCTCTTTTAAAGGAACTGAGCAAAGTGACTGATGAGCTCGGGGAGAAGAAGGCCGACAAGCTGATGGTCCAGAGTGCAATTGTAAGTGGATTCATTTTTAATTTATTAAATAAAATAAATACTGCTGGATGAGAGGGTTCATGCAAATGTGTGCAAAAAAACATATCTATTTTAGCTTCAGCAGCATTAACATTCTGTTGAACAGGTTGTAGGATTATCATTTATTGGTAATGGCTTACAGACAGAATCTCCTGGTGTAAACTTATAAGACGAGTCTAAAAGAACGTTGAGATTTCGAGATAATGCTCCCCCTTAACTCCTTCACTCTTTTTGTTTTTCACACTTGCAGACCACCGATAAATCTGCTCTGGACAGCAAAGTGAGCCGCCTGCAGTTTGACTCTGAAACAGAGCAGCTCAACGCGCTGTTTCACGAGCTGCTCAACAAGGTGTCAGGCCAGGAGCAGGACTGGCATAAAGTCATCAAAAGACTCTCCACAGAGATGGAGTTTAAGGTAAAAAAAAAAAAAAAAAACTGTTCACACAGCAGCATCCAGTGGATCTGTGTGACTCCCTGTGACACGATGTGTGACCTGTGCTTTGACTCCAGCTGAACCGGATTGAGTTTGACCCGTTGAAGACAGAGCTGGAAGATCGCTGGAACAAAATCAATGAGAAGCTGCAGGCTCAGGAAGCTCCCGACCTGGATGACGCTGCTGCTTTGAAAAAGTGGGTATTAAGTTTAACGTTATTTTTTTTCTTCTCAGACTGTCAACACACAGCAGACTGGGCACTTTGGATTTTTTTTATTTTTGGAGCCAGCTTCTGGTGGACACTCAGGGAACTGCAGTTATGTGCACTTCTGTGTCTTCAGCTTAAACTTAAACCAGTTATAAACTAAATTTGGTCAATCTGGTCCATCTTATGAAACTCCAAACACTATGTTTACAGGAAATGGCTAATCCTGCCATATCCAAATCAAACCTGCCCACTTCATTCTTTGCATTTCTCGCTGTAAAATAGTATGTTCAGTCAGCTGTAGGATGTTTCTTTGTGTTTCTCTCCAGACAACTTGTGGACAGGTTTCACTGCCTCTCCTGTGACCGACCTGTCGTCAGAAACAGCCTCGCACCGTGAGTCAACACTGAAAACGAAAGATTACACCGCTCTATATTCTAAATTCTTAATCACCTCGCTCTATTAATCTTCTTCTCCTGGGTGCTTGTGTCATTTCCTTGACCATTTAAAAGGACTTTGGTGGACCCGCCGTTCTTGACCAGTCCCCCCTCACACAAGTCCATCTGGCCGTTTGCAGTTAAGCCTCAGGAGAAGTTTCGTCAGAACAACAGAAGGTGAGATCAGCGCTTCTCCATCTTTCAGTTTATGGGATTTTTTTTTCTTCTGTTCACCAGCAGGGGGCACAAGACAGCTTAAACTGTGAGAGTATTAGTCATTATCTGTGCAGCAGCTTTGTCTTATTGACACAACAATTATTTTATCTCATTGGCAGTTTCGATTCTAATGCTATCTTGATCTCTTCGGTTTTGTCTGTGTCAAAAAAATTATTTGATTTGCAAACTAAGGCTTAAAAACAGCAAAGTCACACTTTCACTTTTATTAATCGGTCGGGCTCTAATGACTACACTGCATTAATGACTGTTGGATAATCAGTATTTGCAGCAGTAGATAAGGAGAAGCAGAAGTCATTTTGAAATGATAAATGAGAGCAGATTGAACAACACAGCATTTTACAATAACATATCTACTCCTGTGAATATTCAATCCATGAATATAAGACGGCCTTTCTCCATCCTTATGATCTTAGTCAAATCAAAACTCTGCAGTCATAGATTCTCAGTTGTTTCTCATGTCGATGTTTTCTCTCTCTGATCAAACAGCAAACATTTCTCGGAGATGAAAGATTACGGTTACCTGGCCGTGTCGAGGAGCTGCGGGGGGAGAGGCACGATCATAACCCGCGCCATGATGTTCGAAAATCTGAAGAAAATGAGAAATGCAAGAGCCAGAGCGCGACAAAACTTCTCTGCTGATGAGGTTTGTGTTGCTCTTACTGGACCTGCGTTCAAAACCACCAACAGTCACTGAACGTCTGGGAAAATGGTTCATAGACGTTTGTTCATCAGTGGAAATCCTGAAGTTTATTTATTTATTTATTTTATAACTCATTTTTGAGTGTGTAAAGACTGTGTGTGTGTGTGTGTGTGTGTGTGTGTAGTCAGAGCAGGATGTCGCTGTCAGATGTAACAGCCGTGTTTACAAAGAAGGCCTGAACAAACCTGCCAGCAGAAACTCTGAAGCTAAAAGACCCACAAGCTTTACCAAAGGTGATTTTTTTTATTTTTTTTAATTTGAACTGAAGACTTGTCACTCTGTCCTGACGGGAAATGTCTTAAAGTGAATGTAAACATGCAGAATAACTAAAGTGAGGCCAAAGGCGTCATACATTAAACAATGAGAGAGTCCTAAAAAGGAAAATGAATAAACAATAAATCAGTGTTTGAGGGCGAGTGAGGAGGGTAACTGTTTTTGTAAATACCTCAGCATTAGACTCTGTAGAAGGCAGCTGGACCCATTTTCTTGCTGGGACATTTTTACAGTTATTTCAAGTAGTTTGTAGAAATGTTCTGTCGTCATTCACTCTCAGGTGTCTGCATGAATCAGTATTTCGTATTTCTATTTTAATATTATCATATAGTTACGAGCTCGCAGCAGTTTTAGCTCCCACGTCGTCAGCTCTCTCAGCCTTGAACCCGACAAAACAAAAACCAAAGGCCTTGAAGGTTTATGTGAATCAGGACTTCAAACCTGCTTCCTTCACTTTGCCCTTCACACTGATTGATGAGCACAAATGTGCTACGGTGTATTTTGGAAATGTCAAGGTGGGGTCTGTGCTGCCCGCCGCTAACCTTTGTCACCCTTTGTTTATTTATTTTCTTGTAGACAAAGTCAGGTGCTCTCCGTATCCCGAGCACTCGGTTTGCCCGGAGATGGCAAACGGCTCACCTCTTCTTCACACACACGGCACCAAGGTCAGCCGCTCGGGACACTTTTGACTCCCGACTCCATGAAGCGCTCGGCTCCATGCTGAGCTCTGTCCAGGGGGTTTCTGGAATAAAAACTAGCAATCAAAATTAACTTTTTCCTGAGGTTTTCTTTTGAGGAAATGGACTCAAAGTATACAGGGATCAGTTCTCCATAAAGTGCATGCTGTCCCTGCTTTACAAAGAGCTAACATGTTTGAGAAGTCACACAAATGTCACATAAACGATTTAGCTGAAGTCTGTTGCTTGAAACTATCATAACCTGACTGCTGGTTTGTGTCATCGCGGCTGACTCTGCGTTATCTTTAGACAGACTGAAAAGGAAGTACCTTAAAATCTGCACTTGATTATAGTTGTTGAGTAAATGTTTTTAGCTCCTGACTATCACCGAAACTCCTTCTACCTGCAGGAAACGTTGCTTTTTGATGAATCGACATGTGCTGTAGTGAGTATTTAGAGCAGCCGCAGCAGAACGGTGTGTTTGGGATTCAGTCCACATAGACTCTGGTGTGTGTGTGTGTTTATGGTAATGAAGTCACATGTCACTGAGTTCAACAGCGTGGCTCATTCATGTCATAAATACTCTTTGACGACATGGAGCTCTAAAACACAAGAGGAAGAACATGATTCAGACTGATATTGGTTTTAAAATGTTGCTGTATCATCAAGTACAGCCCTGTTGAAAAGATGCATGCAGTGAATATATAGTATATATATAATATAGAAGTACTCAAACTCCCCCCACGTGTGTCCTCAACCTTTTTTTTGGGGGGGGGGGGTGTTGCATCATGACAGGAAACGTATCACTCTGAAGCAGAAGTGTACATCCTGTTCACAGAAACATCAGACTGAGAGCAGGAAGGACTCTTTGATGAGTAAAGATGAAAGTAGTGCGTGAACTTACTCTGACATGCGGTCACAACTCGAAGAAGTTTGGTTTTATGACTAATGATCTACTACGGTTTGCCTGGAACTGAAGTGGGTTTATTTGAAAGTTGTCACATTAGTGTTGCAGCACTCAAAATTGGTCTTGGCCCCGCCTCGGAATCAAAACTACTCTGCCTTGTGTCGGTCAGGGACCAGGCGGACTCCGGATTTTAAATCCAGACCACCACTGACCGGCTGTTTCAACCTTTCACGTCTTTTTTTTTTTTTAAACATGTTGCTGGCATGAAATTTGAAATGGACGGAAAAGTCTTCAACATTTGACACGTTGTCTTCACGCTGTTCAATCGAGTACGGAGTCTCAACGATTGTGAACGGACTTGTCTGGGAAATGAGGTTGCATTTTGTTTTTAGCAGCTTTTTATTCCACTGAAATCGTTCTGTGACTGAAGAGAATCCACACTTTCTCTTTCAATCCGTCTTTCTCTCTTTTAGTCCACGGGCGTGTGTGGACATGTGCACAAAAAAACCAAATCAATAGTGATGATGCAGCCGACAGAGATGCGCCCACAGGGAGTAGCAGATCATACATTGTTTTATTAAACATATAAATACAAATTTCAACAGAGGAAATGAACACAAAGTACTGAAAAGAAATCTCTATAAAATAGTGAACAGAGAGAATTTCGGAGAAAGAGAGAGACCGTCATCCACGTGTCAGAGCAAAGTAAGTGTTGAATGGGAGGTTTGAAAAAAGAAAACATTAACCGCTTTTTAAAAACCTCATGGATGGCGGAGACACATCATCTGTAGTTGTAAGATGTTAAAAGTCTGGTTATAAAACAATTTTTTTTTTTAAAAAAGCAACATATCTCTCATTTTTCAAAGCAGAGCCTGTAATCCAGTCGACAGGAAGCGTGCTTGTTATACCCACACAGCAGAGAACAGATCCAAAACAAACCTGGAAGGTGTTCTGCGCATTTCTAACATTTGTCTCAACTTGTCTGCAAACTCAAAGGAAAGTTCCACCCTCAGGACACTGCAATAGAAAAGTCTAATTTCATCACACTCGTTTTCTGATTTAAAGGAGCCATACCGGAGCTTTTTGCTCGGTTTATAATGTTTACTCTTTCTTTCCATGCTGCTTTGTTTCTAATACGGGAATTGATAACCCCGACCTGATCCGAAGAATCAAATGGTATCGATACCACAGCAACGAAAAACACAATAGTTTAAGTAAACATCGGTGCTTTTGGTGGCGACTTAATTAGAGTACTTTCACTGCTGTCTCATGTTTCAGACAAACATGTAACTGATGAGTCACGTCGCTGAGGTAGTGAAGACTTAAACTGACTCACCCTCAAGCTCCAAAAGCCTGAAAAAAAAAAAAAATAATCTAAATATCTTGCAATTTGGGTGGTTGAAAAAACGTTAAAGTATTCTAGTCATTCAACTTGCAAAAACAAAAGGCGTGGCCCTTTAAATCAGAGAGCGGCGGCGAGTTAACATGGCCTTAACTTCTGACCCTGTCTCACACTTTACATCATGAGATCATGTTTGTTAAATTCCTGCATCAGATATTCAAATCTATTTTTCATGAGGCTGCTGGATTGGATCAGAACACATAATGACAACTTTGAAGTGAGCCGGTGTGAGAAGGAAGAGCGGGCCAGTAAAATCCAAACAGAAGAGAACGGTTTGATTGTCTGCAAAAACCCACATCTTCTCTCTCTCTGCATCCATCGCACCCTGACGAACACAACCTCCTCTTAATGTTGAAGTGAGCGTGTAAACATGAGACTAATCAACGTGTGGAGAGGACATCGAGGGTTGTTGGTTTTTTCGGTGGTGGTGGTGGTGGTTTTGAACAATCATTTTTGCAAGTTCTGCTGTTGAGTCTTTAGACCCCTCTGCTCCGGTCTGTGTGTGCAGCAGAGAATACATTCAGACACACAGAGGTAGGAGTGGTTGAGTGTCTTGACAGGTTGTGTGGAAAATCACTGAGTTGGCCTCGAGTCCCCTCCTCCACAGACACAGACGAGGCTAATGCATCCCGACACTCTCTGATCAAGATGCATGTTTTTGTTGTTGTGAGTTCATCAATTTTCTGCAGTTTGTATTTACAAAAACCTGCCTCTTAATGTCAAACTGAGCAGAAGATCAATCCTTGGCTCTTCGCTGGAGTGATCAGGACCATGAAAGACTCCTCCTGCTGAGTGAACACGGCGGCGTCTCTCACATAAAAAGTCTCCAGGCAAAATCAGTTCATTATTACAGTCTTTCAAATAACCAAATTATTGCAAACGTCTTCGAAAGTCATCCATCACATCCTCACTTCACATTCTTAAGCGTCCGTCCAACCAAACACCGGTCTGTGCTCATAAATTCACTTGATAAATATGTCAGGGTTAAAATACTTCCTGCTGTTCTCAAGGTATTCACAGACTTCTTAGACGCTCTTCAAACCGTCTGGAAATACATTCGATTGAATTTCTTTTCAGGTTGTCGAAACAACAAGTCTGTTTCAGTATTGTTAGGCATGTGTTAGCCGATTCACTTTTTCATCCACAACATGAGGACTGTCGAATAAAATGATCTGAGTAAAAAAAATAAAAAAATGAAAATGTTAATGATCCTGAAATCCACTCTGAAGTTTCAGACATCGCTCTCTTCATGTGTTTAAAAAGGAAATCATTTATTGGATATTTCTGCCCTATCGCTAAGTTATCATTAATTTTGTAAAAAAAAAAAAAAAAAAAAAGACAGTAACTGCCTTTTTAAAAAGAATAATTCATTCTAAAAACCTAATGTCATCTCATACTAATAGAAGCAGATGATACAGTGACGTCCTATCCAGCAGCCATATTCGTTTAAGAGATCCTGGAGATACCTTGAGATCAGTTGGAAGTGTCATAAACCAACATTAGGAGTGTTTTTGTTTGTTTTTGTTTTGTTTTTGTTTGTTGCTGTTTGTAAAGTAACACCTGCGGTCAGAGCCTCCGTCTCGGTGAATTTCTCCTGTGTGAGGCGTTTGATGGCTCCGCTTTCTGGCTACAGCGTCGATGATCCTCCTTCGATCTGTTCCCGTCCCGTATCCGACTGAAAGAAAAAACTTTGTCTGAGCAATTTCACGCCTGAGCGTCTCTTTTATCTGCTGGTTATTGCCGACTTCCTCCCCCCCCCCACCGCCCCGTGAAAACAAACGTTTCTCAGAAGAAGAAAAAGATCACAAAGCAGTCTGATTGGTTAACGAGGCTCCTCTCCTCGGTGAGTGCTGGGCACGTTTCCTTTTGGTGACAATAGAAAGTTTTCCTGTTCGTGGTTTGCTGACGTGTGATGAAGGCAGAGAGGGAAAGTGTCCAAACTGCTCGTCTTCACTTTAGAAAAAAAGAAAAACAAGAGAGGAAGCCAGCGAGTCTCTGTCTTTTTCAATGTCCTCTCATTTCACATACGAACCCCAGACTCCCCATATGCAATAAAACAGATTCATTCAGCTACACTTGAACCAGCGACCAGCCCCCCTTCGCCCCGTCCCGCCCCGTCCGGCCCCCCCCTCCCTGCAGCCCAACGCTCAGTCTCATCTTTGGCCGTGGAGAGCCGACACAACAGGGGGCTGCTGGGCGCCGCTGGGCTGAGAGACGGGCGGCCACATGGGAGTCTGTTGCATGTGATGGTGGTGGTAGTGGTGATGGTGCATGTGGTGGCCCGTGGGCGACGACGGCGGCAGCCACGCGGGCTGGTGGCTGGGCGGCGAGGAGGCCCAGAAGGAGCCGAAACCTGACGTGGAGGAGGCAGCTGGGGGAGAGCCCGCCATCGAGACCTGGGAGGGCCCGCTGGAGCTGCAGTCCGACGCCCGCAGCTTGGAGAACATGGTGATGGCGTCCGGGAAGTTCGGCGGCGTGGCGGGAGTGTTTCGGGGAGTACACATCTGAGGAAGAAAGAGAGAGAGAAGTTAACAGCAAGAACCACTTTATGGTTTTCCTACACTCTACGAGATAAATAAATCAAAACTTGAAGGAAACTGGGAAATTACCATTTTGTCAAACACAAAAAAAACATATATAGTGTATAAAGTGTCCACTTTGGGCTTCCATAGATAATGGTATCACAGTATATTGAATTATAACCATTGAACCATGATGCCAGATTTGAGCCAATTAAAGCCCAAGCTGCTGTAGAGTCTGTACAACTGATACAGAATTCAAAAGAGAAGGTAATTCAAAGAAGAAGAAATGTGACCTGTGAGACATTTTCTGTACAAACTCGACATTCGGAAAGTTATCGGACTCTGAATCACTTGCTGCAAAGAGCTGGACATATAAACGAATGAACAGAGGGGGATATGCAAGTTAAATGATTTACAAACACAACTATGAGCGCCGAGAGTTCATGTGTAGGCCAAACGCTTGCCTCAGGGTGTGTAGGGTGTGTAGGGTGTGTGTGTGTGTGTGTGTGTGTGTATCAATCAAACCAGTTCAGTGTAAACATAAACAGAACTGAGGCAGAGCTTCACTCAGGACTTCTCCTTCTTTATTTATCCGCTTGACCCTAAATCAAGAACTGAACTGAACTCTTCTTTACTCCTTCTTCACTCTTCCAGGAACTCGGCCCTGGTTGAGAAATCCCGTGACGTGACCAGGTATCACATTTCAAAACACGCCGAGTATCAATTTAAACATGTCTGCAAAATCAAGTCTCTAAAAAGAGTCAAATATCCGGGGCGCCCATGGGCTAGCGGTTAGGTCTTGCCACATACGCGGGGGGCGATCGTCCTCAAAGCCTGAGGCACGTCCTGCATGTCATTCTATATCCACTGTTCATAAAAGCCCCCAAAATAAATCGAAATAATAAATACATGGGAGGGTCAAATATCTAAGATTGGTGTGTAACAGCTCAGGCTTGTTTACTGATTATCGGCTCAGATGTCTCCTCTGTTAAATCAGGAAACTTTATTTAACTAAAGGTTTGTGACATGAAACTATTGAGGAGTAGGATTCATTTGTTAACATGGAGAAGGTTCAAAACAGTGTGGCCTTGATCAGACTGAGGAGCTGTGACACACTGCTAAATGCCAAAAGTCTTCAGTGAGAACACACACACACACGCACACGCACACACACACGCACACACACACGCACACACACACACACAGATCAGGTAGCAGGCAGAAATAGAGGATGGGTGGGAAGGGGTTGGGTGGGGTGCCCTCTCAGCTGTGCAACAGGAGGTTTGCTATATTTACACCAAACACATTCAAACATTTGCACAAACAACCACAAACACACACACAAACACAAACACACACGTGTCACCAGTTTCTGTTCACATCAAAAACACTAATTCAGACCCACTAGTCGACCTTCTGCACTTTGTGTTCGCTTATAGAGCTTCAACTATGGACAGTTATTCATCATCAATTCATCTTCACACCGATTCGTTGTTTGGTTTGTGAAAAGTTGACTGAAAAATGTCTAAAAGCAGTTTCCTCAAGTCCAAGATGGAGTCTTAGGAATAACATGGATGTCTGTTTGGACCAGAGTGAGGTCTTGTTTTATAATTTCACATTCAAAATGAAGTTTTAATAAAAAAGCTGTGTTTGATCACTCTGTTCAGTGTTGCAGTAGATGATTAAATATTAAAGACATCACATTTAGCTGTGAGTCCGTTTCTGTCTCTGCTGTTCTTCAAGGTTTTACATAATAACTGCTTTTGCAACATGTCCCTCCCGAGTCCTCAATAAACCCCCAAAAAGCTTTTTTTTTTTTAACTACATCTGCACCACGCTAAGAGACAAGAACTGCTTTTATTTATTTAGTGCAGTAAATGCATCTCTATTTATTCAGCCGTCCTGATTCTGTTCATATTGTGACTGTCTGCTTGTGATTCTTTGTAATAAGTTTGATTTAAAAAATATATATTTTCTTATTGAATGAATATAAGGGATATGTTAAGAAGTGCAGAAAAACAAAAAAACAGGGAATATGTTTGAATCTTTTGTGATTATAAAACAGCAACTAAAGCAAACTCTCATACCGGATGTGATTGACACCGTTTGTGAAATTATCACAACTTCACCGACATGCCGTCTGCGACATCAACACGTGACTCATTGAGGATTCGAGTGAACAGGGACGTTTATGTCTCAGGGCTTGCTCGGCTCCTCGGGGAGCGCCGGTGTTCTGGCTGGATCTCTGTGTGCCTTACAAACAATAACACCTCTCATGAGCGTTTGTCAGGCCACGGGGAGAGAACGACGTGTACCAAACACACACATAACACAATAAAACACATGACCCTCACGCATCAACTCCCAACATGCCACAGAACCGGTTCTCCACTTGAGTCACAATGTTGTCAGAGCCTGGATCAACCCAAAAAAAAAAAAACGACTCGCACTTCATTCAAGGCGTCATCATCGGTTTCTGTTTATTTGTAGTGTTTATCTCTTCATATTATCTCTTCATCTTTGTTTGTGTTAAAGCTACAGGCCGCTCACAAGAAGTCGACCTCAGTTTAATCGGCTCAATCTTGTTCCTAAAATCGTGGTGAATAATCTGAAAATAATGGTGTCAGGGCGCAGTTACCTTTCAAGTTTCTACCAAGGTGACCTGCAGACATTTCTGGTTGTATGAAATAAGCACCCAAATGATGTTTTTCACATTGTTCTGATATTAAACAAATATAAACACGGCCATCTATTGTTGTCCCAACTAGTGTGCTACAATTTGACTCACCTTGTCACTACTTCATGACTCCTTGTGGGGGCGTTGTTTATGACATGAATTAATGTAATGTGAAGGGAAGTTTTAGACTATTTTAAATTAATTATGCTAAATTTGACTCTTTTCTGCGTGTTTACCTTTAGACTAGTCAGTTAGTCTCAATTTAACATGGGAATTAGTCGCCTAGGAACAGCCCTAACAGCCAAAATACCTAAATTAAGGTTTTAAAATGACCAGTAAATAATGTCACCGTGACAACATCCACTCCTTGATCACCGTCTATGATTCCACCACAACAAACCAGACTCAACTCTCTTCAGTCTTTCCTCAAACAGTTCATTCCTGGTGCTGTTTAATACAAACTTCTCTGGGTGAGTTTTTTTTTTTTTTTTTTTTTCAGACCCCTCCTCTCTCTCTGTCTTTGTGGCAGAGCAGAAAGCAGTGACTAACTTGTTCTGAGTATTTAATTGAGAGCTTTTTCTTGCTGCTACACTCACTTCCTTCTCCTCCATGCCGTCCCAACATGGCTCCATGAAGATCCCCGGAGCCATGTTGGGACAGTTTAAGGAGGAGGGGGGGATGGAAGGGCTCTTGTGTATGGTTGCTCCCCTCCCTCTTTCAGACCTACACACACACACACACACACACACACACACACACACTGCGAGGCCTTGAAGGGAATGATGTCACCGCGCTGCACCCAAAATAATAACAAAGCCTAGCCACCGCCTCTCTCTCTCTCTCTCACACACACACACACACACACACACACACACACACACTCCCCTTGCTTCTTTCAAGCTCCAACAAGCTTCGCGCAGAAACACAGGGAGGCCTTTTTTTTCTTTACCAACACAAGAGCAGCCCGAGGAGGTCACGCTGGCTAAAAACCACTGGCTATGTCGACATGCGGCTGCTGCGTGATCAGGATGGGACAGATCCCAGGATGCAGCGTGGTTGGTTAAGAGTTTTCAGACACGCACAGTTAAGAAACAGGATTGCATAAGCAGCAACGAGCCAAGGACACAGACAGCTCTGTGTGTGTGTGTGTGTGTGTGTGTACGATGACACAAGTCTGCACAGCAACAGAACAATTATTCTTTCAGTTTTGTGAAGTGAATCCTCCTCATGAGTCTGTAATTATTGTCTTACAGGGTTGCAATTAGATATTTAACGGCGATCATGTCAGCACACGCCCTGCTATAGCAGATGGACACTTAAAAATAAGTGAAGTCAGAGGAGGACACGCTCGCCGTGTGTGGGATCAAACTGTGAAGAGTTTCCAGTGATCATAAAGTCGGAGTGGAGATTGCCGGGTAAATATGATATGATAAGACACGCAGCCCACAACAACGATCATTTCTGATACTGAAGACTATAAAAGGCCCCTAAAAAGTTTCACCTTCTATCACACTTCACCCTGTAATCTCTGACATCATCCTGTTGTCTTCTTCTTTACCTTTTACCCTGCTCTCAACTTCCTTTTTTGGGCAGTCAAGACTCCTCTTACATTTCCCTCCTTCACTTCATAAGCTCCACCGTGAGGCATGGCGTTGTGACGCAGTGAGTCACATTGGCAGCGCTCTGTTGAGGACGCTGTGTCTAGGTGGTCCGACCTCCGACCTCCGACCACCTCAGCGGCAAGGAAGTGTGGACAACAGGAACACGAGGAGAAATCCTTCCTACATATCATCATCCCGTATGCTTTTTTTTGTAAAGCGTCTCGAGGAAACACTCGTTATGAATTGGCTCTATACAAAATGATTGATTGATAACAGACAGAAAGAAGCTGTGGGTGGTTCATGGGGTGTGGGAATATAGAGCGTTCAACAACAAAAAAAAAAAAAACAGAAAACTAGACGGGCTTTTGAGCATCTGCATCTGTTTTTCTTTCCTCGTGTAGAAATAGCTGAACTTGCTGATATTCCTGGTGGTGCATGAATCCCAGCTGTGTGTCTGAAACTCAGCGTTCAGCCCAGTAGGTCAGTGGGTGCATGCACCCCTCCGCCCAGCTCAAGGGATTCAGTCTGTCAGCCTCCACTCAGCCACACATGTCTTAAGTCTAATACATTTTTTTTTTCTTTTTTCTAGAGGAACCAAATGCACTTACCATCTGGTGGTGGTGACTGGGGATGTTGGCCTCCTGGAAGAAGGAGCTTAAGGCCGTCTGCAGACAGAGACAGAGAGAGAGAGAGAGAGAGAGAGAGAGAGACAGAGAGAGAGACAGAGAGAGAGAGAGAGAGAGAGAGAGATTGTGTTTAATCATGTGATTTATTTAGATTTAAAAACATAAGGAAGTATAGGAGTCAAATTTTTCCTCCGTCTGCCTTTGACCACAGAGAGGAGGAGCTGACCCATCCCCCCCCCCCCAACTTTATGGTCGGGCCGCAGGTCAGCCAACACAACTGGTCATGTGAGCTGGGGGGGTTTCAAACTATTATCTCCACACTGGGATCTAAAACAGGGTCCCTTGACCACCAAGAGGCCATTTCAAATCAGCTATGACCTAACTGACACACTCATTTGGGGATTCTTTCAAACATACATCAGTGTTTTGTTGCTTTTTTCAAATTTGAAGGACGCCATTCTTATAGAGCCCGACCGATAATATCAGCCGATGATAGCATATGAAGTTAGTCTCTGTATCACCTAATTTTGTCTCTGATATGTGCCGATATTACTAGATTTATTTACCAGTCAAATAGCATTTCATTTGAATAATATTGTATTAAACTAGCGATTCTCTTTCACCAGCAGAGGGTTCTTCATAGATTACAAAAAGCATTATCGCTCTTGTCAAGCGGTGTCACATATGTGAAGTTACTTTCCAGTTGAGTGACCATCTTGTCTTCATTACATATCTTTTGATATCTGTATTTAAGGGATCAACACAATGCACGTGTAGATCTATTTCTAAAGGTCAAAGATCAATCTAAGAAAGATATCAGCCAAAATATCGGTATCGGCCCCCAGAATCACCCATCGGTCGGCCATACAGTTTTCTTCCATACAGATTGAGTTTAAGCAGTTTGATCAAAGTGGATTGGAGGTAAATAATCAGCTTGTTAATAATCTATTGTGTCATTTTTTTTAATGGAGGTTTTAGATCGTTATTTTCTTTGGTTTATACCTCGAAAAGGAAAATGGACATGTTCATGTATTTTCTAACCGAACAGTCACAAAATATTCTTCGAAAACTGCGACATAAATAGTCGTCCTTAGCACCCTGACAGCTCCGAGTCTCTGTCGCAGGAGATTTAAAATAGCTGACTGACTGAGAGAAACCGAGCGGCTGTAAAAAATGTAAACAGCGTGGCGTGGCTGCCTCGCTGCACAAACAAGGAAATGAGTTGGCTTCTTGTTTGAGTTCCCCCTTTGTTGTGAACACAGCCAAGGACGGGGCGGCGGGGGGGGAGACAAAAAAAAAAAAGCACACCCTGTGACCTCTGAGAGATGGAAACAAAAGGCCGATAACCAAAGCAGCCAAAACAAAACATTCTCTGAATGTGACTGTAGAGTGATTCATGTGCATCGCGGAAAACACTGAGCGTCGTCATGTCTCCAACTAATAAAAAGGTGCTGGCACAAAACCAGTTTGAAGCCACTTAATCAGCTTCAAACTCATTTTTCACCTTCACTTTCCAGCCAGAATAACATCCACACAGGGTTATGACACTCACTCTGGCTCAGCGGGTGTCAGTGAAGAACTCTGCAGACCCTCACCTTCAGGGTAGACTCAAAGTGTTCAGTACACAAAAGATTTAAGCTCAAACTGTAACATTTGAACTTTCACTGTGTGGATGAATATTTGCATTAACTTGTTATCGTCCTTTGATAGATTTGATCTCAGTGTTTTGTTTGAACACAGTAACACCTGCATTCAAGCTACTTACAGTAAAGCACACATTCATTTATACCACATCCTAGTTTACGCATGTGGCCAAAGATGTCGTTACCCCCCAATTTCCACATACTGCGTGCAACGCTGCGGTCCGTCAGCTCCGCGCACTGCACCGCCGGTTCTCTGCCTCGAGCGCCGTGGTCCGTCTGAGGAGCACACCAGCAGCACGGTTTTCTCTCAATTCTCACGTTGTCTCGCAGTTCTCTGGACCGCGGTGCGCACACAGAGGAGGTGGAAATTAGGGGTCGGCGTTTACAATCGTGCGTTTCCAGGGCTCACACCACCAAAAAAACCCAAGTTGGAACGAGAGAGACGACGTTCTTCCTACTAAAAGTGAGCAGGCCCTGTTTTAGTTGGAGCGTATGTATGAGTTTGACCAATCCAACTAAAACAGAAACACATTTAACATTCACACACTAAAGCTACTTAGACACTGAGACCAGCAATCCCCACGTTGGTTGGCTTCATGAACCAAAGTAGTGAACAGGCCTACAAAAAAAAAACTAAACTGAATAGCTGCATTGATTAACTTCTTCCTGCTGCTGTGGCTCAAAAAACAAACGACACTTTGAGCCGTCTGGAGAAAATGATTCTCCAGCACAATAACGAGATACTGCTAAGATGTGTCCTGTTTCCTAATCCAAACAAAGATGTCACCCATCCTTGCTCAATTTCTCAAATATTTTTAAATGTTCTGAGATAAAGCAGTAAAGAGTAAATATGTGGCTTGTTTCTACTTCGTGATCAAGGACGCGTCTGGTTATTTGGACATCAGTGAAAGCTCAGCAGAGCAGCGTGAAGTGAACAAGCTCGTAATGTTTTTACAGCAGGACAGAAAGTATCAGATAAGAGTGTGAGCTTGTTTTACTGCTCAGCGAAACCCTCATTTTGTTTCCTCCCCCCCTCAGAGGAGGCCTCTTAATGCCAACACTTCAATGAATGTGTGGGTCCCACCCCCACCACCCCCTTCCACACACACTCTGGTTGTTTGACAACAGCAGCAGCAGTGCAGGAATGTGGGGCGTACAACGTGACACACATATCAAAGTGAGAAAGTGCTGCCGAGCTGCTGTTGTTACCTCCTCACTCCTTTGTCTCGTCTCAGTCGAGTTTTGAGAAGCAGGTCTGGTGAACGTCACTCACTGATGTCACAGTGTCACTAAACATTTCCTGGTGCTGTGAACATAGGACTCTTAACAGGACGTGTTTTTACAAGGGATGGTTCATTTCCTCTGAAGTTACGTAACAACTCAGAGACAAAACAATGCAGCTTAGAGAAGACATAGTTTTGTAGTTATTCATAAATGAAGGAAGTGTTTTAACTCACCACGTTGTACATTAAGTGCAAGAGCTGCAAAGAGTAAACTATGTAGATTTAAGGAATTTAAACGGATGTAAAAATGAATTACTGAATATATTTCTGATTAGTCGACTACTTTAGACATGGTGCAATTTGAAGTATCTTTTTTATATTAGTTTGTCAAATAATCGAACGTAAAGTTAGATATATTCTTGTTACAGTTAGAATCACAGGGAAGAGTATTAGGGCCACGTTAAAGAAACAAATTAAACACACACACACAAGTTAGTTGGCCAACAAAGTTGACAGCAGGGTAAGAAGAAGAAGACACCGAGGTCAATGTCAGAAAGCAAAAATAAAGAAGAAGTTGAGAAATGAAGCATGGTAAGTGTGGCATTCTGTCATCTTTAAAAAGGGGAACTTTGTACTCTCTCATCAGATATTCTACTGTAATGTATCTATTTATTATTGTAGAATCACTGGGCCATTGTTGCATATTATATTTAATTGTCCTGCTAATCTCTACCCCCGTTTAGACACAGTACCGTTTCTATTGTTCTCAGCCGACAAAGCAGATTTCTCACTGACACTAAAAACCACCATCGTCCTGTCGTCACTTTTCAAACCCCGTGATAACTAAACAAAAAGTGAAATTCATTCTGAAGTCTTCCTAGAATGGGGTGACAGGCCTCTGGGTAACTGCTGAGCTGAGTTCAGGAGACGCCTTTGGCCTCGGCTCGCAGCCCGAGCCAGAGAGCGGAGAGAAATCAGGCCACTGCTGTCCGACGGAAATGAATAACAGGCTGTTTACTACGTTCACACTCACAAAGAGAGGAGACAAAACACCACCAACCCTATTCTCCCTAACCACAGACACACACAGACACATCAGAGCTGATATTATTAGCCAATCACAGTACACTTAAGTCCATTGAGAGAATATTAATAAATTTCCAGTTTTTTCCCCATGATATGCTTTCATACATCCTTTATTTGTGTAAAACACAGTATCCTGTTCTTTTCTTCTGGTTTCTGTAGTATTTGGGTGTGGTGAAAATTAACTTTGGGGAAGTTGTCGCAATATGAAAACTGCAAGCCATAAATAAAATCTAGAAAGAGAGGTTGAACTTGTTTTCTCTTCCCAAAAAAATAAATGGATCTGTGGTTATGGGTCGGTAGGGATTAATCTCAGGGTCCATGTCTTGGACAAAAACACAGACTGGATGTTTCCAATCATTAAAACATTTCAGCAACAGTTATTTTCCATGAAAAGGGGCCGCAGTAAAGTTATTATCAGTCTCAATACCGATAACTTTTTCTGGTTATTATCGGAAATAATTGTTTGGTTGTTTTGGGTCAAACATTAGGTCATTAAGAAAAGTGCTAAATGTACACAGTTGAGAGGATTTAAGCAAAGGATGTTTCACCTGAAATATCGATAACAGAACAACGTTTGTGAAAGTTTTCTTTCTAATAAACACTTTTTTCAATCGATGATGTTATCTATGCCTCTGCAGAACCCTGCCTTCAGGTAATATCCAGTCATATCAAACTGGTTTTAATAATATGACTCATAAATTACTTGTTTTAATCTAACAGTCATTACATTTCTCAATTCTGACTGTCAGCGGCAAAAACAAGCACGTTTAGTGGACGTACTTTGAGAAGGCCAATTTGTGCAACTGGATTATTTATCAGCGATGTCAGCCTGTTTCACTGCTGCTGGCTGATTAAATTAACTGGAAACTCTTGTACTGATTTGTCATGCTTAGACCCCAAACTATGTACGAATAGAGCCAGGATTTACAACACACCAATGACCTTTCAAGTAGCTAAAAGTCCATTAACCAAAGTCCTTTTTTATCACCAGCAGCATTTGATTTCAAATGTCTGAGCTTTTCCTCTTTGTTGTCTTTGAAGGCTGGGGAAAAAAAAAAAAATAGTCCAACACTTCAGATTCAATCAAGCTGCTCAAACATTGACAACCGCCTGAGAGGAGTTCAGCCAAGTCTTCTCTCCCCCCACACCCCCCTAATGAACCACCTGGCCAGGCTGCGGCCCGACACTGACACAGGCCCAACAGATTGGTCACTAAAAGCAGATGGAGGAGTGGTCTGAGCAGCAGAACCATCTGGAGGCGACAAGTTCTTCAGGTGTCAGTCAGCTGCTCCCCAGGCTTTATATACGTTACAAACACGCTGATGCTGGAGCAAGGGAGCCATTTTGTATTAAGAATATTCTCCTCTTACATCAACCAGTCAGGTGGCAAAAGAAAGTCCAGACTTGCCCTTTATGTTTTATTGAAGTTTTGTTCAAACCTGCAGCCATTTTCTTGATTTCAAGGGGAATTGAAGCCGTGTTAAACCTCAGCAAAATATTTGGAATTTCTCTTGGAAGACAGCTGGAGTCAGTGGATAAAAAAACCTGATGTTATGGCTTCAATGTTTAATCTTTCAGAGCAAATACATTCACTGAGAATGGCTTCTTTTTACCGTTTGGAGGCTCAGATTGTTATTCTTGTGTCTGAGAATGTTTCTTAAAGAGGATCCCGACAGAAACAGAACTCTGATGTTAAACATAGTACGATGATTTTTTGTTCTTCTTCTTGATAAACGGTGTCTGCTTCACTCTCTTCAAATCAGCCAGACTTCACTGACAAAAACAGTCATTTGACCTCAGAGAACATCGTTGCTGATTGTATGCTTCCTTAATCAGTGTCTTGTTTTACTGTGTGTGTTCTTAACCGTTGTGTTGGCTTCAAACTAGAGCTGGGAAATATATCGAGTTTTTAAGATGTATCGATATATTTTCAAACAAGATATAGGGTCAGACAACATCGTTATTATCGATATAGTTTAAGTTCCATTAAAATAACGTTACAGAGGTGCCAGGTCACTTTTTTCTCATCTCACTGATGATGACTGACTGTCTGTCCCTCTTCACCCTGCTCCTCCTCCTCTCTCTCTTTTATTGTATTTAAGCAACATTTTTATTTTATAATATTACTTTTTAAATTCACAAACAGGTAGTTTATTTTTCCATGTGTTTTCACTGTTAATAAAATACATATCGAGCATCGCCATTCAGCTAAACAATATCGAGATATGAGTTTTGGTCCACATCGCCCAGCCCTACTTCAAACTAAACATTTACCAGTAAAATATCTTGTGTATTTGTGAATACTGAAACCCACTTGTAATGGCACTGAACTGGTTAGGGGCAAAAACAAGCACTTTTGATGGTGTGAGGGCTAATTTACTATCCATTACAGCCTGTATCACAGCTGTTCAAATCTGTTTGTACTTATTAGTAATACATGTATCAAACACTACAAATTTCCCTGCAATGATAAATGTAAGAACGGTTTAATCTCTCCATAATAAGGAATACAAACGTGGAGTTTGTCAGACCAACTCTACAAAGCCGAAGACCCGGAGAACATTTTTATTTACTCATTATTTCAGCTTTATTGCACAAGAAAGCCCTGCATGTAAAAGATCAGCTAAAATTAGATGTTCATCTTGAGGCAGAACAGGATCGATGTCACACCATTTAGCTCTGAGAACAGGAGATTGGCCTCTTGTTCTCCTTATGTAAAACACCCCTCCTCCCCCCCCCTCCCAAAAATAAACAAATTAATAACACAGTAAGATTTTGTTTTCTTCTCCCACTGTTTGACTGATCCAGTCTCCTCTCATGCAGGGAATGTGATTAAGGGATTAGTGAAAAACCCGTCTAGCAGGGAGGGTTCATTTTTATCACCTTGTGTGTTTCAGACGAAGCCAAACCCCAGTAGTTTATAATCTGTGAGTGATCTCTGCTGTGATGAGGACATGTTATCACACGGGCCTTGTCTGACCATCTCTCCACGTCACACCATAAAAGTTTAAGATCATTTTCTATGACTTGCTATTAGACCATAAAACAAATGTCCAGCTTTTGATGCTCTGTAAAAGGCTGGGTCAGCCTATCAGCGGCTGTGGCTAACAACATCTAGCTCGGTGATGACACAGTGGATTCCTGTTGGTGGGAATGTAAACAAAAACCGGCCATTGACTGGAGCACCACGTCCTCAGTGCTGCTTAGCTTAGCTGCTGTTAGCTATCGGGAGAGCGCATGGTAGCGAGGCAGTACTACCCCCCTCCTCACCCCCTCCCCAAAAAGAAAATGGCCAAAGGGAGGTCACAGATATATATAAACACTGTTTAAACAGAGAGTTAAGAACAAGAAGAAGCCATTTGTGCGCACAGTGAATTCACAGTCCAGCGTTGACACTCACCTCAAACTGCCAGTGGGCCGCTTGAAGGAGCTGCTTCGCCTGATCGGCGGCGCAGCCTGCCGTCAAAACAAACTGGTTGATCATGACTTGATGTCTGAGTTCGTCCATATTCACAGACATGACCGCTTTCCACAAACGTTTCTTTTTAAAAAAAAAAATAAATAAAAAAAGTCGTGAATAAAATAGAGTTTATTCGACGCCTCGGAACCTTCACACCCCGTCCTGCCTGCCTGCCTGTCTGCCTGCCTGCCTGTCTCCCACCACCGAGTCTCGGTCCGCAGCCTCCAACAGCAACAACAATATTTTCATGTCACCACCAACAACAAAGACATCGGCGCTCCTGATTGGAGGCGTCGGGGCCAAGGTAGTACTACAGAGGCGCTGATTGGCTTATCGCGGAGACGTGTTTAAATTCACTGCGTGGCGCTTGGTTTGCTGCACAAAGACACTCCCGATGGGTGGAGTCGAGAGAAACAACAATGACTTGATAACCCTCTCCACCCCGCCGTGGTTAATGCTGAAGATTTGTACACGAGCGTTTGTAGATGTCCGTTACACAACGGAGGCGTTTGATTGGACGGCTCGCCTGGACTCAGAGAGCCAATTAGCGGATCCGTTTGGCGTGTAAATGAACGAAACATACATAATAAATACTTTACCGGGAGTTAGAGTTACTACAGTGTACCAGTAGTGTTTCCGCCTCAGTGTTTCTTATCCATAGACTGTAAATATTATTGTATTTTCACCTTTTATGGATGACAAGTAAGATAAGATAAGATAATCCTTTATTTGTCCCACAACGGGGAAATTTACTTTGTTACAGCAGCAAAGAGCAAAGATTGCAAACAAAAAGTGAACAAAGTACAATTTAAATAAAAAAAAAAAAGATAGATACCACAATATATAAAAAAAAAAATAGATCTGCTGAGCTGCAGTTTTGACAAAATGTAGTCAGAATATTCAGTGTAACACAGACATACACACAGTGCACATAAAGTGTAACATGTTATTGCACAAAGTGGATTGGTAAACATAATATCACATTATTATTATTATTATTATTATTATTATAGTACTCAGCCAATTAGACGGTGCAGTAGAGCTCCACCTAAAATCTAGTCTGTAAGAGACAAATAAGATATTTTAAGCCAAATTGGTTCCTTATCAATACTCTCAAACGCATTATTTAAGCAGCATTTAAAAATATTTAAAAAATCAAATAAAGCCAGTGAACACAGTGGAGTAAAGCAGCAACTGAGAGGAACTATTAACATGCTCTAAAGTTTGTTGAGCAACTAAAAGAAAGTGAAGGCTGGGCTAACTATCAAGCCTTTGCCAGAGACACAACTCCAAATAAATGCCTGTGTAATGTTACAGCATATTTAAGAAATAATATTATTTCTCTTGACAAACCATTTTTGCACTAATGATCAAAGGTTATAAAGGGATACATAGCATCATACTACAGGTATTAGCCCGACCCTGCTCCCTAAAAGATGCCCATATTGATCATCTGTTCAAGCGGTTTATATTTGGTACTTGTGAGGCAGCAGCCTCTAGTGGCTGTAGTAATTATGACAGGCGCACAGAAGGGAGTCAGGTAACAATAAAGTAATGAAACGCTGCCTTGGGTGAAGGTCACTCAGAAGGTCAAACAAATGTCACCCAGGAGACAAACGACCTCCAAACAAACTTAAGTACTTGCATACCTGCTGTTGTTGTTGTTATTACTATAGAGGCATTTGCAATATTTTTACTATTTGTATTTTCTGTATGTTGTGTCCTTGTAAAGCACTTTGCCCCATGTCTGTGAGAAGTGCGATATACATACACTTCGCACACATACATTTATGTTTTGGTTAAGTTTGAATTCATGCACTTAAGCTGCAGACATGTTTTAAAAACTACTACTCAATCATCACCAAAAATAACATGTTTATTTCTGCAGTGACTGAAGGAGGAAAGATGAAAAGAAAGAGACGTAGAAAACATGGAACATTTATTTGATCACGTTTCAAACATTGTGTCTTTTAAGGTGCAGAAGATCGATCATTCAAAGTCTTTCTGTTCTGACAAAGGAATGAAGTCAGTTTGTACATCGGTTCACTTGAGTTGTCCTGACCGTCTCTTAGAAACATGCAGACAATCAGACCTTCACTTGATTGAGTCAAGGAGTTTTGTAATTGTCAGTTAGAATAGAAAGAAATATATTTATATAGACAAGCTTAAACAAATAAGAAATACAGCTGTTGTCCAATAAGGATTAACTTTTCTTTTTTTTTTACCACTCCTGCTGGTCATTCACAGAAGTACACACAAAGTTTAAAAAAAAAAAAAAAAACAATAAAAAAATGTACAGAGGAAACTCAAAATAATTTATAAGAACAAACTCAGTTGTTTTTCATAAAGAGGCATCACCATAGACCACTTACTAAACAAGACAGTTATCTAAAAATATTTTTAAATAAAGATCCGAAACTTGTTTTCAACCTCTCGGACGCCTCCTTTCTATTTAGCTGCAGCGTTACAATCTCCTATCTTTTAGTTTGCCAGCAAACACAACACTTTCCCAGCAAACACAACACTTTCCCAGCAAACACAACACTTTCCCACATTGAAACTTAAAACGAAGAGCAACTCCGGCGTTGCAGTTTTGATTCATAAACTGATTGTCAGCCAGCAGTTTGTTTACTCTAAGAGCTGCAGCATGGATTTTTTTTTTACTTCATCTACTGATTAACAACAGGTCATTTTTAAAACGACACAAATCTGGAACAGGAAAGCAGAAGTTGAAACCAGCCAGCCTTAAATCTTCAGTGTGCAGCTGCTGGTTTTGTCACCTCAATTTTCAGACTCTGATCTTTACATGACAGCCCGGAAACATCTCAGCTGATGAAAAAAACCCCTTAAACAAACACAACGTGTAGCCCCCGGTCTTACTGGTGAAAGTAAAAGTCATATGGAACAAACAGATAAGAACAGAAAGGGGATGTTTGTACAGTCAAAGTTCAGATGATGAAAAACTGAATCTGCTGTCAAGGTCGAACACACAGCGACCTAGAGAAAAATAGAACTGAAAACTCACTTTGTCAATCTCAAGTTTTAGTTCCTCTGTAAATGTAAATCAGGACGATATGGGGGTAAACTGCCCTGTTTGAAACCTAATTGGTCTTTTTAGCTTAAACTTGCTTGTTTCATTCTGCTGGTTGACCTTTTTTTTAAATCTTACATCATTGTCATTTAAATTGTATTATATATCCTCTTTATCTGAGAATTACTTGGGAACTTCTCAAAAGGACATAACGGTGCAGTTTAATTTGAATGTGCTGCAGATTTAAAGTAACGACAGATTAATCGCTCCTTCAGCACATGACACCCTCCCAATCCCTATCGCCACCTTACATCTGCTAAACCTGACGGACTCTAATGATATCAGGATATCATGAGTGTGTGTGTGTGTGTGTGTGTGTGTGTGTGTGTGTGTGTGTGTGTGTGTGTGTGTCTTTGAGGGCTGAGATGATGTGATATTAAACTGAATGGGATGCACTACCATGACATCACAGGATGCCAAAAAAAAACACATGAATTGGTGTGGCTTACATTACAGTGTTTCTATATTGAAGCAAACTATTGAAAGTAAGAAAGACGTTTATGTAAATCATTTTAGGATATGAAACTGAAAGACTTTTTTTTTTGTTTTTTTTAAACTCTAAAACTGTAAAATAAATTACCACAAAAGTGATGAAAGGATGTTCTTCACTTACAAATTGACTTCTTAGTGATTCTCCGATCACATCCAAGATGGCTTTGTATTGATTTTTTAAAATCTGTTTAAACTTTATAGAAAAATATTAATATTTGTTAACAATTGGGTTGGAGGGGGGGGGGGGTTTGATGATCACAACTTTCAACAGCGTTCACACACCTACCAGCAACACGGCTCGGAGCCTGTGAGTGTAGGGTGTTGGGATTTGGTCAAAGAGGCTTAAAAATGGGTGAAAAAATAAAAAAATAAAAGAAAGGGATACACTATGATGACATCACATGTTACCTGACTGTAAAACACATAAGAGAGAAAGTGACACCTTCAGAAGGTTTTTGGGGTTGGGCCATCTATGAAAAATCACTTCCCTCCCTTTGTCTCATTGGTCAGTAGTCCTCCACCCATCCATTCTCCAAAATAAAAGCATCAATAACCTCCTTCATGGCCAGGTTTGGGATGAGTTGATCTTGTGTCAGAGGAGTGCGTGTCACCGGGTCAAAATGGCCGACTCGCTGCAAGACAACAGCAGACATCTCCATTTAACCCACATTTCACCACAGGGCTGCACAGACTCTGACTGCATCATGAGATTCTTTCTAAGGTAAGCAGTCAGTCAGACACAGGTGCCCTCAGACATTTCCATGTTCATCTGTGGTGGTCTTTTTACCTGTAGGTGCTCTTCAATGTCTTTTCTGTCGTAGGTGATTCCACTGGGAGTGATGCAGGGCTCTCTCATCAACTCAAAGCTGATCTTTCCACACAGGTAGTCTGGGATCTCACGCTTCTACCAAACACAGCACAGGAAAGATTTTCATTAGGAGAGCATTTTACTTTTGAAGATCTTTTTCAGATAAAGAGTTAACTGTGGCTCGTTGCACCAGCAGTGTATTCAGCTCTGTCTTAAAGCTCCTCTGAGCAGCTTTTAGCCTGGTTATGAAACTGACTGATCTTTATACAGATGCCTCCATATAACACACTAAAACAAACAGGACCATCAACGACAAGATGGATTATTTCTACAGTGGTTTATACGCCTGAAACCACGGCGGGGGGAGGGGTGACAGATGAGGCGATTTAGAGCACACTGAAGAATCAGACTTCACAGTCGGACCTTTCTGAGTGGAGTTTGTGTGGATGTTCTCCTCATGCATGCACGGCTTCCCTCTGGGTAGTTCCCACAGTCCCAAGGCAGGCCCAATAGATTACTTGGTTGCTCTATATTGTCTGTAGGGGTAACTCTACGACCAGTCCAGGGTGCACCCTCGCCTCTCACCCAATGTCAGCTGGGGACTACCAGGCAGAAATAATGCATGGAAGATGTTGCAGCCAAACACACTTGTAGGGAGGGAGAGAGTTTCTTTTTACACACTTTGTTTCTATCTGTGTCATGTTGTAAGTCAGCTTCCAGCAGGTCTGGGATCATATCTGTATCTCAGCATGGGAGTACAAACTGACGCCATCATAGATTTCTAAGGGGTTTTAATTAATCGCAGGTTGCTGCTGTAGCACCAAACAACCGGTACTAGGAGCTAGGTGTAAGATTTCAGGTGTTTCAGGAGACGACCCGCTGAATTTAAGCATATTACTAAGTGGAGGAAAATAAACTAACCAGAATTCCCTCAGCAGTAGCGGCGAGCGAAGAAGGAAGAGCCCAGCTATGTTGGATCTATCTCAGCTTGTGCAACATCTTAAACATTATAAGTGGATCAATTCTGAGCTAATTTTGGATATTAAACTGTTCTACTTTTGAATTTAGGCAACCCAGTGCTAAAGTTTGGGAATTTATGTCACAAACATCAACAGTTCAATTATGTTTGTCACCTTAAAGTGACTTTTTTTCTTCTTCCAGAATGTGAGGTAAATATTGATACATACAGATTTCAGTTAAGAGTCAACACTGACCTTCCTCTTCTCGTCTACCTGACTGAACAGCTCCTCCATGTCTGAAAGAAACTTGTCCTGCAGGAGACAAAAAGACAGTCTTAGGTCACAAATTATCTACTTTTATTTTACAATCCTTCTTTGTCTCCTGTACCCAAACTAAAATACTTTAAAGAGTAGATTACAAACAGCGTTATCTATAAATAAAGAAAGAAATCACCTACATGTTTAGTGTGGATCAACTTCACATTGTGTTGAATTCTGATGTCGTCTGATTTGTCTTCCTGCTTCTGTCTGCAGCCCTCCAGTTCCCTGTCAAATACAGCACAGACTCTACGTCAGAGAAGAAGACAAAAAAAAAAGTATCCCAATATCACTGACGTCGATATGTACGACCTGCCTCTTTTTCTCAGCTAGGATGAGTTTGGTGAGGTAGGCGTGGAGCTCGCTCTCCTGGTTGATCCTTTTCTCCTCCAGGTTGTTCCAGCGTTTCTTCTTCGCTATCCGCAGAGCGCTGGGAATGTCGTCGCCAAAGTTCAGCCGCTGCTCTTTTGCTAAGTTAAAAGCTTGTAAAGAAAAACATTTTTAGCCCACAAGCTCTCCCCGCTTTTGACATAAAGATCTCTTCCTAATGTGCAAACATACTCAGCATTCAGAGTCTATTTCTAACAGTATGTCAATCAACAGATTCCACTAACTCTTACAAACTGGACCCAAAAGTTTTGTTAGGATAATAGTGAATGAATCATCAAGCTTTAAATGTCACCTAACCACATGAGAAAAATCTCTCGTACCTCTCTGTAGGTTACCAATGGCTTCGTCATAGTTCTCCATCTCCAGGTGGCACTGGCCCATAAAGAAGTGAGCTTTGACTGACTGGCTGTCCAGCTCCAGGGCGTGTCTGCAATCTGCCAGAGCTTTGTCATACTGCTGCAGCTTCACGTAGCACAGAGCTCTGTTGGTGTAGTACGCTGGAACAGAGGGGCTGTGGCTCTGCAAGAGGAGAGGGGAGACAACCAAAGCATGGACTGTGAGGATATGAGCAAGGTCAACAAGTTGAGCAATGTCGGGTGTTGCATGGATTCTACAATGAGGTCACAGTTACACTGGGTGCTTACTATGGCTTTGCCGTAGCAGGCAGCAGCCTCCAGGTACTTGCGGCTCAGGAAGAGGCGGTTGCCCTGTTCCTTCAGCTCCTGAGCCGACAGAGAGACACCTTTCTCTGGGCTTTCAGACATTTTGTGCCCAAGGCTCGCTGCACCGGCAGCAGCTGCCTCCTCACTTTGCTTCCCAATCCTGACGCTCAGATCCAACGGACAGGGCCGACTCTGAGGCACAGAGATCAGACACAGATTCAGCTGATTCGATTTTTGGAGTTAAACGAGAACAGCACTGCAGTAATATGATTATATTTTGACCGGAACATCAAATATCAGACACCAGGACGATAACTTGTATTGTATGGGGAAATGCTTTTCGGAAACAGACAGCATAGAAGTGATGACTGTCTGCAGAAATCTGAGGACATGCAGAAAGAATCAATCCACCAATATATGACTTTTTAAGCATGAATTCTTTGTGATTATTTCCTCTTTGCCTTGACTTTTATTTTTAGATATATTACTTTTTCATATTTGCATCTGGCACCAATTCACATCAAGGATAAATTAATTCATCTTTGTTAATTTACAAACCCTAATCCTGACCTTAATGCATCTGTTCCATACTTAGTCTGTATATAACATTATTATTATTAGCATTAGAGCCCAACTGATAATATCGGCCAGTTGATAATAGCACATCAAGTGACTACCGGTATCGGGAAATTGTATCGCAGATATACGCCGATACTTGTAGATTTATCAACCAGTCAAAAATGCATTTCATTTGAATATCATTGTATTACAATAGCAGTTATTTTCCACCAGCAGGGGGCGCTATATTGATTACATTAAGCATCATCACTCCTCAGTGTCAAACGGTGATGCACGTAAATGCACAGTTACTTTCCAGTTGTGTTAGATAACTGAATTTGAGGGATCAACGCAACATAAGATCGAAGATAGATCTAAGAAAGATATCGGGGGGGGGGCGCTGGTGGCGCAGTGGCGCAGTGGTTAGTGCGCGCGCCCCATGTATGGAGGCTGTCGTCTCAAGCGTGCGGCCCGGGTTCACATCCCACCAGTGGCTTCTTTCCCGCATGTCATTCCCCTCTCTCTCTCTCCCTGATTTCCGACTCTATCCACTGACCTATCTCTCCATTAAAGGCACAAAAAGCCCCAAAATAAATCTTTAAAAAAAAAGAAAGATATCGGCCAATAAATCGGCATCTGATGTTTTTTCTCCCTAATATCGATATCCATATCGGTCGGGCCCTAATTAGCATCATTTACAGCAGGGGTTCCCAAACTTTTCAGCTTGCGACCCCCATTATGACGGTGATAGATACTTGGGACCCCACATTTGACGCACTAGGTCAAAACGCTGGCATTAAAACAGTAAACAATAGCCCAAACACCATCATATTATTTTTGTAACTTATTGTAAGAAACTACTTTTTTTTTTTACCTCCTGTATTTTCAAATTAATGGGTGAAATATCCAATTTTAAACCATTTTTATATGTTTTTGAAAGGAATCTCTCGAACCCCCCCCCCCCCAACAGTGTTCCGCGACCCCTCCAGTGGGCCGCGACCCCCACTTTGGGAACCACTGATTTACAGCTTATAGTCTGTTTTTGTTAATGGAAATAATGTTTAGGGATAAATACATAGAGGTAGCCTACACTTGTTGATTTCTCCAAATTAAAAAGGACTTCATTAGAGCAGCATAATGAAGCAGGTGGAGGTCTGCTTCTTCTGACCTACAATCGATACTAACCTGCAGCTCTGCACACACACACACACACACACACACACACACACACACACACACACACACACACACAGGGCCGAACCGGAGACATCCTGCTCCGGTATCACACTATCTGACGAAACCGGTCAAAGCAACGAACACCCAAAAAAAAAAAACAGCGAGGCGACGTGCGCGGCTTTAAATGCGTGTCCACATACAATACAGGCGATGTCAACTTTGAAAAACTGTTGTAAAATAACAGGAACTTACACTCCGACAGATGCTGCACTCCGCTGCAGAAACGTAAACATTCATCTGACGTCACAACCCGGAAATGGTTCCGCACCGTCGAAAGGGTCCGACGAAAACAAGGAAGTGTTCCCCGTGTAACTCAACGCCGTCGTCAACCGGGGAGGTGTGCAAGTGTAAACATGGCTCTGTTCGCGAGGTAGAGGGAAATATAATAAATAAATACATAAATAAATAAATAAAGGATGCGATAATGTGTCGAGTCGGCGGGACAGGCTTGACGTCACTGCGGGTCAGACAGAGTTATTAGTTAATGCCGAACATGGCTGCGCCCACACAACCGGGAGGATCTTCAGCCTCCAGCCCGCCCGGGTTTGAAGGTTTCCCCTTTGCTCTGGCCGGGAGACCACCGGAGGAGAGTTCGGGTAAAGAGCAAGAGCAAACCGGGGGTGTGAAGAAGAAGCCGTGCAGGGCTTGTTCGGACTTTACGTCGTGGATGAAAGTTCAGAAGAAACAGACGACAGCTGCTGTACAGGTGACAAGAGGTCAAGGTTCTGTTTACAGGAGGCTGCTGTGGCTTGACTGGAAAACTGTTTACGTTATATCCAACACAAAAAAACTGTTAAAAACACTTTAAATACTTACCTACTATTTCTGTACAGTTTTCATATTTAATACAAACTATGAATTGTTTCTGTCCTACAAAGGCAAAAGACCTCAACTCTCCAGAGTGTCGAACTGAGAAAAATGACTTTAAAGTCTTTTTTTTGTTGTGCAGCCAAATGAGATTCAAGATTCAAGATTTTTATTTGTCACAAGCTCATACAGACGTGCTGTGAAATGTAAAAGACTGTTGCAATAAACCCTCAAATTACTAATACACATGTACACAGTAAAATAGAATATAATGTGAAAAAATAAAAAATAAAGAATTATTTGAATGTACAAAATATAAACTGTAGAGTAATGTAAACAGTGTAAAGTGCAATGTGCAGATTGGATTGTGTGTTGTTTTGTTTTTTAACTGAGGAGAGTGGAGTTAACAGTCCAGACAGCCTGAGGAAAGAAGCTCTTCCTGGCAGAATATCGGAAACGTGTCAATTCTTTGTCTTTTTACTGAGGTTATTAATGTTCCTAAAAATATTTAGCTCAAACATGACCTTTGACTTTTATTTGGAAGTTAAGGTACTCTGCCTTTTGCGTTGCCTGTACAATAATAACGGGGTCATGCCGAAGCAAAAGGCATTCACTTCCATTTGTTACTGTATTTCACTTGTTAAAATAACACAACCAACACTTGTTTCTTTGCTACACTTTAGTCAAGCTGCCGTGTGTGTGTGTCAGAAGTGTTTGATGACAGATGTTAAAACAAAGACATAACACTTTAACTCCACTGCAGTGAAACAGTAACTTCACTTTGATCCGCAGTAAAACAAAGGCAGAAGACTTTAACTCAGTTTGAGCATTACAGAATGCTGCAGTACAAAGACCCTGATGAGTGAAGGGACTGGACTCTGCTTTGGTTTCTTGAGGGCTTTTGGAAGTTAAGGCAAATACAACCTACTATTTTCTCAAAAAAAAACAACAACACAATTGACTCAAGATATTTGTCCACATGATAAAGCACATCTGTAATGTTCCAAAAATGACCAAAACTCATTGAAGTTACTGCCTTTTGCCTTTCGTAGAGCAGCGTACATTAAGTAGTAAGTGTGCAGGAAAATGTTGATGTTTAAATTGGCGATAATGTAACTAGTACGTGTCGCTTTTCATTGACTGTCATCATGATGTAGCCCTCAAAGGTGCAATGGAGGAGCTGTACAGTTGTGCAGGTATTTGTTTAATAGTAATAATTTATAGATCCTGTGAGGGGAAATTTGTTTTTACACTCTGTCTAGTAGGCCTAAATACACTCACAAACAGGATCCTATGGACATGCACTAATGGAGAGGTCTCAGAGTGCCTTGCTCAAGGGCACTCTGATTTCTGGACTTGGTCCACACCGGGACTTGAACTGGCAACCCTCCGATTCCCAACCCAGGTCCCTACAGACTGAGCTACTGCCGCCTACATTTACTTGTTAGGATCCCCATTAGCTGTACCTGAGAGCTCAGCTATTCTTCCTGGGGTCCACATATGTATGTGCATGATTTATAATGCAGATATTCTACTGTACACAGAGTGCAGTGTGAACAGAAACTACTCCAGTGTGTGTTAATGTAACGCATAAAATCAGGTTTATCCTTCCTTACATTACTGCTATATGTTCTCTGACTGTGGGGTTGGACGAGAGTCAGTGTTATGTGGGGAGACGGGGGGGGGGGAGTGTGGAGGCATTATTAATGAGGCTGGCAGCAGATGGAAAGAAACTGTTCTTGTGGCGTGAGGTTTTGGTCCTGATTGACCGCAGCCTCTTACCGGAGGGGAGGGTCTCGAATACAGAGGAAGTCAGACGACAGATCAGAACAACAAGTAAAATGACGCAGTCAATATCTGTTTTTGAAAAAATAAGTTTTCTTACCCCTACAACTGTATCAGACACGTTGCTGAGACGTGGTTGTAAAATTGGATTGCTTGTTCAATTTCAGAGTCCCTTCAGAAACATTGTGCTCAAATGATGTCCTTAGGTCTGATCTAAAGTTTTTCTTTAGTGACGATTCAGCTCTGTAGGAAATCTGCAAGTATATCTTTCTTTGACACTACAGCCTGAACAAATGTTTCAGTAGGCTGCCATCACAGTTCAATATTCATTTCCTGCTTATTCCTCCTCATATGTTTAACAAGCATTTCTTTATGTATCTTAAGGAGACCAAAGCTGCAGAGACAGAGCCACAACAAGATCCCGAGTGTCCTCTGGACCGGGGCGAGTTGGGACGTAACACCTGGTCCTTCCTGCACACTATGGCAGCGTATTACCCCGACCGTCCGTCGGCTTCACAGCAGCAAGAGATGGGGCAATTTATCAACCTTTTCTCCAAGTTCTTCCCCTGTGAGGAATGTGCAGAAGATCTCAGGGGCAGGTCGGACCACATTGCTTCTTTTAGACAGTCACATATCAAGCCTCTTCTTCTTATCTTCAGTTTTGTCTCAAGAAAGAGAGAAAAAAAACACTAAAGGCGTTTCTTTCCCCTCTCCACAGGTTAAAAACCAACCAGCCGGACACCAGGAGTCGCCATGCTCTCTCTCAGTGGTTCTGCCGAATCCACAATGACATCAACGTTCGATTAGGAAAGCCAGAGTTCGACTGCTCCCGAGTGGACGAGAGGTGGAAGGATGGATGGAAAGATGGCTCCTGTGACTGAGAGATGTGAGGACTGAGCGGGGAAAATGAAACCTTCTCAGTCAGAGTTAAACTGGACCTCAAAGTGGAGCTCACATCTGTTAGGATGAAAGTCTGTGTCAGAGACAGTTTATGTGCTTTGTTTTTAATATTGTGTGTGTCTGGGTACTGATCTGGTAATAAAATTAAAGATACAAAACAACCAAGGACAGTCTCTTTTGCTGAAGAGAAGTGACAAAACTATTTTACATTAAATTTCAGTGAAACCAAAAAAAAACATTTATTTTTGTGTCGATGATTCAAACAGCCACCGTGATTGTTCTGGATTATATAAATAACTGCATTAAAATGTGTTTCCTGATCTGTTCCATAGTACGTGTTTTTCAAGATTAGTTTGAACCAGAGTAACCTCTTAAAGTCTAATTATCACATTCTTAAAGTGTAAGAAATATTTACACTATGATAGTTCAGAGATGAATTAGAACTAACACTTAGAAAATACTTAAATTAAATCAAAAGTCATTTTACATACTTATTTTTCAACATACTGTTTATTTTGGGTTTGGTGTTTATGTGGAGTATTTTAATCTGTATAGTGCGAAGCTGAATAAAAGTTATTTTTCAATTACAGCTATTGATCATTTAATGTATGCAGGTTATAAAAGCGTAACCGTGTTGATTAAAGTCGTATTTGTGTTTCTCTTTGAAAGTGAATGTTAGGGGTAAACATTTGAACCAATTTCAGTTAATGTGTAGTTGTCATTGGATATAATAAACAAGCTTTACATAGAACAGGGGCCAACCTTGGAATCTGATTGGCCACCCCAAAACTGATGAACTGTGATTGGCTATCCGTAATAATTTAAATTAATTTGTGTGTGTGTGTGTGTGTGGGCACATCGCACTTCAGCCCCCTGTAAAAATGTGGACACGCTCCTGTATATAGATATTAAAGTGGATTACAGGTTCATTTAAACACCTGTTGTGTTAGCACCCTGTGACGCCTTATCTTCTTTCAGTGCATGTTAGGTCAAGTCACCTGATCTGTGTGTGGTATTAATAAACTCTGATCATTCATTTGTTATTAAGGAGACTTTAAGGACACCAGATCAAGTCTAGTGTGCGACTGTTAGCATGAACTGTCCAATCATCACCCAAACATAGGATTCAAACACAGCTGTTGTTTGAATAACCTTTCTTATAATACTAGTTTGTTTATCTTGATCTCCTCTCCTCATTATAATTTTGAACACTGACCTCTAGTGTCACCTGCATGGTACTATCAGGTAGCCTGACACTGGTCCTCTTTATCTGCACCATCCTTTTAAACCATATGTGAAAAACATTGTTTGCTAAGGTTTATGTTCGAAAAAAAAAGAAGAAAGCTTGGAGTTAGGTTAAAGAAGGGATTGAAACATACCGATACAAAAAGTGTTTCACTGGCTTGTGTTTATTAGCTGTATTGCACTACGTTCCAACCAGACATGTATTTTTCCATTTACACCTTTTTTCATTCAGTACAAAGATAAATATTTACATAACTATTAGTTATATAAAGTTATAAATATTAACTTTTGTTTATATTTGAATGACATCATTTTTTTGTACCCCCTGCTTTTCTACAGATTTGCCCCTAGGGGTCGCTGTCCCCTCATTAGAGAAGCACTGATTCTATTAGCAACGTTGATCACATATATATTTTTTTTACAGTATTTACTCCTCCATTACAGAACTTTGTCCTACTGAGCATTAGACACAGTTCTGATCTGAGTGTTTCTGTGTGGACTTTTACATGAAGAAGAGTTTGATT